TTTTTTTTTTCATATTTTAATAAGTTTTTTCATAATCTTTTCAGTTTATATCAATAAATTTCATAATAAAATTTGATTTTAACCTTTTATGCAATAAAGTATTATTAAATAAATATTTAATTAAACTAATATCTAAAAATATCCTAAATTTTGTTATCGTAGTAGGGCTCGACACCTTGTAACTAATAAAAAATTGGAGAAACAATGGTTATGAAAGGAACGTAGTGAATAAGTTAAGGCAACAATTGCATTCATTTGAATAGATGGGTTCTGAAGAGTGAGATTCAAGTGGCATCTACCAAAAACTATGATATCAAGCAATAATACTATCCTATCAGATATTACAATAATAATATTCTAGGGTATAACATGCAAGCACATATATTCTTACACTTGAGAAACAAGTCACCCAACCTAAAACCACTCCATATGAGTAGCAAAAAAGCAAGAGCAAGTAAGCATGAACCAGGTAGCACATGGTTCCATCTTTTAGACATACACCACTCAGTCTAAAGTTATGCCAGTTCAATCTCTAACAGGGTATGAAAAGCCTCTTGCACTATACACAGTCAATCTTAAATTTTGTTTGGTACAACTTATTGAAAGCTAATAATTTTATAGCTAGTCACAAAAAATTTATAACTAACTAATTGAATTAGAGTTATTTTGTAAAATTAATTGAAATGTGTTAAATGACTAAAAAGATAAGATAAGGTTATTTTGTGTGCATGTAAAATATTTTAAAAATAAAGAGTAAAAATAGAAGAAAATATTAATAGGTAGCTTTAAATAAGTTGAAAGATACTTGAAATAGCTTTTCATAAACTAACTTTTAAAAGTTACAAACTCTTTATTTTTTATTTACCAAATATTTCTACTAATTTATAAAAAAGTACAAAATCTTAAATAATCTATAACACAATCTTTGAGACTTCGTAACATACACAAACTTTTCAGAGCAAATGTATCATATAACATGCTATAAGCAACTCTCACATGGCACTTCTGCTGCAACCTCATTAGAAAACCCTTCTCTACCTCGAGAATCAATGAGATTCAATGGTCATGCCCAACATTCATTTTCACCCATAACAAGAACAATTGCCTTTCAACTTTCATCTCCCTCTTCTGAAGAACACCATGAATCATGACTCTGCAAGTCACACAAGGCATCATACCATTGTCACTCATTACATCTAGAACCTTTTGCATCCCTCTGCAAACCCTGCAATACCCTTCATAATAGTGGTGTGGTGGTGACACAAATAGTATTTCCGCAGTTTCCTTTACTCATCATATTGAGAAATTTTAAGGAAATTTCAGAGAGATTGGGTTGGGAAAATGAGCATAGCTGATCCATCAAAAGGTTATAATTAATCAAGGAGGGAACTCACTTGTGCTAGACACTAATTAAACATTAAATCACATGCAATGTGCTACATATAGAATGCTAAAATATTAAGTAAGCTAGACAAACACATTGCAAATTCAACAACTTTATTTAGTGAAAATCTACCAATGTCACAAATTGTATTCATGGCAAGTGTGGCTAAAATTATTCTGTGCCTCGTCTCCAATCAATGTGTATAGAACGAATAATTTGCCTGGAACATGAATGTGTAGAAATAACAATTTTTTTAAATGTGTATGTAAGAACATAAAATAATAAATTAATAAATAATATTTTTTATTAAAAATTATAACATTTAATATTATTATTATGTACCCACGTTAAAAAAAATCGGAGAAATAATTAGCATGTGGCTACCATCTTTCTGACTCTCCATCTATTACCAAAAGCAAATAAGAGAATTTCGTTGTACTTGATTTCAGATGGGAATAGTGCAACGAAGTTAAAATGCACCCAGCACATTGATGAAAACTGGAAGGCTATACAAAGTTTAAAGTCAACAATGACTAGCCTTAAAAAAACTTTAAAAGAGCGTGAATGCAATAAATGCTTACTGGTGGAACCTGGAAAGCATGTAGCTTCTGCGTCAAACTTGGAAGCAAAGATTAAAAAACTTACCAAACAAATTTAAAAAATGGTGGATTCTAGAACCTTTGAAAAACGTCATACATGAGCCATGAATATAAAAACATGAATGACAACTTTTAAGAATTACTTACTTTAATTTTGCACTATCACATTAACATTAAAAATTTGAATTGCAATACTCTGGATCACATTAACATTGACAATACCTAATCCACCTTGTAAAGTGACCAAAGTTTGCAATTAAAAACATGAAAAGGCATTGTAAATCAGTCAAACGAAACAATTTAAATGATATATAAGATAACACCAATCTGATGTCAATGATTACATGAGTTTAAATCAAACTAGCCACTTTCCAATTTAACAACCCCACATAACAAGTTGAGATACTAGACATTCATGCATTTGAATGTGTTGCATAGCCTGTGTAAAAGTGATAAAACATTTGAAATTAAAGCATATATACGACACTTAGCAAGAAGAAACTCGTGCCCCCAAAACTAATGAAACCTTCGAGTCTCTGACAACATATAAGATTGAACTCCAAATTTCATTTAACTTGTTAATGAAATGCACTAAATAGGGAAAAAAAAGAAGAAGCTTGAATGAAGCAATTCCTTTTCCTCTCCTTTCCATCAAAGATTAGAACAAAATGTTGTAGGATCCAGTTAGGAAATTTTTGAAAAATACTTACAAGAGAAAGAAACAAAGAGGTAAAATAAATATTTTTTTTTCATGAGTTAAAATCAACTTATTCATCTTAAGTTTGGGGAGAAATTTAATAAAAAAGCTTCTTAAAAAAATAAATGAACATAAATTAATTTAAATTTATAAAAAAAGTATGATTTTATTTTTTTTTATTTTGCCTCCTATAAATAATTAGCAAAAAAAAAAAAAAATTCAAAGTGGGCCTAAGTTTACTTCTCAACTTCCTACAAAGACAAAAAAATATGTATGATCTTGTGTTTGTTACATTTTACTTTCTTTGTATTCCACCTAATATAATTGATATGACAACATAAATTTGGCTACCTCTTGATCTCGTCTCCTCTTACCTATTACAATTTAATGTTCTTACTTGCTCTAGCGGCTGATAATGATTTTCCAACGAAGCTATGGCTTTGTATTTGTAATTGTCATTCTCTTGAAAAAAAATGTTGGAAAGAATTGGCCTCAAGAGCTATAATTTTCAACCCAAAAGCACATTATATGAGCCAGCTAAACCTTAGTAATTTGAGTTCATGTATGGCTAACGTGGGGGCAACCTTATGTTTATTTTTTTCACGTAATTAAAAGAATTTGGATGCGTGAGAAAATAAAGTAAAATAAACAAATATATATATATAATATTCGTAGATCAATGATAAAGGAACCGCAATTATAAAATAGATTTATGAAATGAAGAATATATAAATGAGTTAAATGCACTCTTAATCATCTGAAAAAATTTAATACATAATTGATATTATAAATTAATGTAATATTTCTTTTTCCTAAACTTCTCATCTCTATTTTTTTTTTCCGTGGAAGAAGTACACTAAATGCTCCACGCAAACTCATCGTTTACGTCTTCGTGGGGTTTGCTTTAAAGAAAGAAGCAATTATGGTAGTTTGGTCTTGCAAAAGCTAGGGGCATGTTTCACGTATGTTGGTTTGTGGTGTTCAGACGTTTGTTTTGGAACCTTGTGGCTTGAACGTCTCTCCTGGGCTTGTAACGGCTCTCGTGGACTATAGGGAACTTATTTAGATTTATTTATCAAGTATTTACAGGTTTAGTGGTACATTTAGACACTCAAATTAATTAAACGCTTATTTAATAATTTTGTTTATAAGATGGTTTACGTCATAAATTTAGTGATAACATTTATTAAAATAAGTTAATAAGAGCTTATAAAAATTAATTATAAATTATTTTTATAATTTGTTTATAAATTCTTTTAAATAAAAATAAATTCACGTAATAAGTTTTTATTAAATAAGTGTTAAATTAAGTTATGTAACCAAACATGTCCCTATTTTTAATGGTTTACTTACATCCTAGGAGATTATTTGTACTTTATAGAGAAAAATAATCATAATTTAGCTTTGTAACATTGAAAATGTCAAGCCCATGCTAGAAACATATCACCCCTGTAACCTAAAAAATGAAACATTCCATCTCTTGCAAAAGTGACAATGCAACCTTCATATCAATTAAGTGATCAATTGATCTGGTGACACCATGATTCTTAATTAGAGAAAGAAAACTAGAATGGGTAGGACTAGGAGATACTCCACACAGGTATAGCATATTAGCAATGAACACAATCATGTGAAAATTCTGGTATGGCTTCCCTTTCTCTCTCTCTCTCTCTCTCTCATTTCATGTCTTTGTTGTGAAAGAATTGAAACTCAATTGATGAGAAAAGTGAATAATAACGACTTTTAATTTAAAAATGATTATATTTTAGCCACCTGAACTGTATCATAATCAGAAACTCTAGTGTAAGGTCTGGTGTCAAAGGTTCAATACCAAGGACAAATCTAAGGTTCTATTAATCAATTCTTACAAAAGAAACAATAAGATCCATACATAGTTTAATTAATATCCTTAGTTTTCCAAGATTAATCTAATCAGAAGAGAGGTTGAAATGCACTTTCGTTTCATTAGAACCACAATGAGCAATATGGTGAAGGATTGCATGCATACTTAATAGATTAAAATTAAATTTCTTACATTTTGGATTGTTAATGTCTGTCTATTGCAGAATGAATTCAAGACAACATAATTGAACAAATGAATTGAATGCTTTTCCTAATAATTTTGCAAATTTTACAATTGCAAACATTGGAGAGAGCAGCAAAAGTTATTGTTCTAATTTATCACACCAATCACAAATACACCATATATAGTCAAAGAAGGGGCGAATATGGGTCCATCAGAACAAAGCCCACCTCTAGAAAAGGCAACTTAAGCTAAGCATCACAAGCAGCTGCTATATGACCCCAAAAGAAGGCAACTAAGCTAAGCATCACAAGCAACTGCTATATGACCCCAAAAGGGAAAAAGTGAGAACAAGAAACAAAAAGCATCAATTGGCCAACGTAGAAGCTAAAAGTATAGTATCCTCTCCTATAATACAAACCATCAATAATGCATAACATACACATTATACTCAACAATAGCATCCCCAGTCTTGAGATCAAACCAATGAGTCCTAGCTTCTCCATACCCTCTAGCAAACCTGAAAAGTCCACTGCCACCAATCACAGGCATCTCCCTCACCTTGTTGAAAACCGGGTTCCTACCCAAGATCGTGATGGTGCTACCATTGTACTTCCCGTCAATGAAGGCAAAGTTCATGGCCATAAGAAGATCAATCTCACTTTGTGATGCAGAGGCATAGAACCCTTGAGCCTTCCCCACAAGCTTGGAGCTCAATTCGGGTCCCAAAGTCAAAGGGTTGTCGATCATGTTGACCAAACCAAAGGCTGTGGTGGTGTTCACCTTAATGGGTGGTGGAACAACAGCAACAGAAGTTGGGTTGTGTCCACTCACTATATCATGCCAATAAAACTTGAAATGGCTCAATTTTTCTTTTTTCTTTAGGCCTAACATTTTGCGGTCTATTGGACGACCAAATTCACTCTCCTCTTGTGCATTTAGGGCATAACAAGAGATTAGAAGGAAGAATAAGAGTGTGAGGAAATGATGGGTGGGCATGGTTTGGTTGGTGTTGTTGAAATCCTAGTAACTGTTATAACAAAAAAAATATATGACTTAGAAACTAAAATGAGAATGAAGAGTGTAAAGTTGAGGAATGGTTAGGGGGTTATAAGGAGACAGGGGAAATGGGGAAAGTGAGGAACCAAATTCCAAATGAATGAGTGGGTGTGGTTGTTGGAGGCATCATTTCATAGAACACAATAGTGACCACTTTAATTACTTTCCTCCACAAAGAATTATTGGAAACCGATTCTCTTTTCTTCTGTCGGTTCCTAAGAAGTCATTGTGATGAATATAATGGCCCGCGTGCCTCGTGTATACTAATTTACAGTCAGGGTTGTTAATTCTCTTAAATTAAAAATTACTTTTTTTTTATCGATTGTCCAATAATACAGTATAATGCTAAAATAAACATTTTTTTTAATGAATGCATTAATAAAAAAAATGTTTTTTTTATGTGCCTAAAAAGAAGAGCTACTAAAATAGATTTGTTTAATTGGCTTATTCGAATATGTGGTGAAAATGTAGTAGTTGATTCATTAAATTAAAGATTTAAATAAATTTATTTATTTTTAATCCATCCAATTAAACTCGGGTAAAACTGGGCTCATTTGATTTAATTCACACAAGTCTATTACTTGTTAATATAATTATTGTTGTAATTAGTATATGTTTTTTTAGATAAAATTAGTTTTTTCATTTTTTTAACTTTAAAGTAAGTTTTGTTTTAATTTTTTATTTATTTTTGTCTTTAAAGTTTTTAGTTTTTTATTTTTTCACCTTATCTTTTTTGTTACTTCTGTTACATAATCTAACAAGAGATATCTTATATGATGCTGAAATGGTCTTAATATTGTTTATTTAATTTAATTTAGGCCTTTGAATTGGAAGTCATTGTTACATGTGGAGAGATCAGTTACTTAAGGCACACTTAAATGAGAAAAATTGTCACTATGTTTTAGAGAAAAATTGAGAGATTAAAAGTGAAAAATTTGTTCATAAAACAAAAAATTTGGTGTGATAGGAAGTTTTTTCTGACAAAGAATTGAAGTAGAAGTGAACATCAAGTTTATAAGACATGTTTCTATTTTTGAAATAAATTCTCTACATGCATTAGGTATAATATTTTTTTCTAGGCTTTTTGAGCTTATAGTAATGATGACATTGTTGAATATTTGAAAAATTTTACTTTTTTGAAGTTTAAGTTTTTTTGTCATTAAATTTTTTGGGTCATAGACGATGAATATATTTTGGATAAAAGTTCACTATAGTGGCAAGTTTGAAAAGTCATCAAAGACTAAGTACATTAAAGGTGAGACATGTATATGAGACTGTGAATAAGATTTTTTAAATTTTTATCAAGTGTATAGATAGGGTACGTGAATTTAGACATGATATGATTAATAATATGTGATACGGAATAGGTGAAAAAAGTCTTGATATTGGATTGAGAAAACTAAAAGATGATAAAAAAGCTACGGAGATGGTCAAAGTGTTCAAATATTCTGAAAAAGTAGAGTTGTATGCAGTATATACAATTTCACAAGTTGAGATATGTATTGATACTCCATTATTTGAGTATTTTTAAGGGTGGTCAAGAGTTTTTAGGGCCTAAAGCAAACTTAAGAATTACGCTTTTTTTTATGAATAAAACAATTTATTAAAATGATTATAATTTTATTTAAAATTTATTTTTTAAATTTTTTGGGATGCAAAATTATTTACAAAATTGTCATAATTAATTTCATTTGATATTTCCTCTTCAAATATGTCTAAAATAAATATTATTGTATAATTGAATTAAATTATGCAATCATTTCAATTAGTCTTAAAAAAATTTCATTACCTTCCTAATAAACCTTTTCATTTATCGACAACCTCCCACCGGCACACACCCACAAGATAAATGTAAGAACTAAATAAGAGATGAAAAATTGTTCAGGTTCTTTTGCTATTCAACTATTCTCGTTTTAAAAAATAAAATAAAATCAAAAGAGATAATTATTTATTGGTTGAAAGTTACTACTTATTAAATATTATTTATAGTATCAATAAAAAGTTAAGTCATAGACTATTTTAATTAAAAACTATTTTTAAAAATAATTTTAATTTTTTAAATTTTTTTAGAAGTATATTTGTAATAAAAAAATATTTTTTTGGGGCCTAAAGCCATTGCCGTAGCTACTTGAACATTAGGCGAGCACTGAGTATTCCATGAATGTTGGTAGAGAGAAAGTTTATGAGATGAATATTGAAGGATGTAATACCTTAATTTAATTTTTTCAAATAAATAAATTTTGTAAAATTGAGAATAATAAAAATTTTCATTCAAATGGTTCTCAAAGCATAATTTAATAAAGTATTTCAAAATAAGAGTAAATTACAATTTGAATTAATAATTGCTACAGGACTTAATTAATACATCAAATTTTTAAAATAAATTCTTAAGTCCTATAGCAGTTTCATATATTCCTTTACTGAGCCCGATACTAATTGTCTTAGTTACCTGACAAATTAATGTAAAGGTGAGTACTCTGTACTATCACACACAAGTACAGAGACTCACCTTGCATATTCCACAAATTTACTGCCACAACTCAGTCATGCATTAAACATGCATAAAACAATAATTTCAACATTTCATTCTCATTCACACACACAAGTGTGCTCATTGCACTATCAATCAATTCACACGCACACGTGCACTCACTACACGTTAGTCATGCTCACTGTAGTACTGTGATCATATATTCATGATGCCCTCAACCTCAGGGACTTACTTAGTTTCACACCATGGATGGTTGCTGGATAACCCCCGCCTCACGGATACAATGTGTGCGGTCACAGGTCTCTTAGCAAAAGTGTTAGTCAGAGGCCAAGTCAGGAGGCGAGTGTGTGGCCTATGGTGTACCCACACTCACTGTTGGTGTTACCACCATCCTCTCTTCTCCAAGGTATTTCTACTGCTCCCATATTCTACACCCTAGTTTATCGCTGAACTATTCATAGTTTCTAACCATTCCAAACACATTCACATTCGCAATTACATCCAACATGTCATTCACACACGTTTCTAACCATTCAATTTTTTCAACATCCATCAATCGCATATTCACACGTATCAACCGCATTGCAACCAAATATTCCACTACACATCATAATCAATATTAATCACAGAAGTCCCATTACAATTCAATTATTATCAAACCATTCCATCATACAAAATACCCAACAACTACCATATCATATTCCACACGAGATTTCTATCACAATACAATCACAATCAAGCTATTTTCATTTAATATACATCTTCGTACATTCTATCTTAACCGCATTGCATTATCTATCAATATAAACTAATTTAAAGACACAAAAGATAAGGTAGAGTCACCCCTTACCTCAAATTGAAGACCCATAACGTAAATCAACAATGAAAGCGTCCTCCACACAGATTTTGTTCTAAATATATGAAAAAATTCTATGAGAACTCAAAGAGAACCAAGAAAACAGGGAAGAGGGACAAAAACTAAAACCTTAGCCATTGAATCGGTAAGAATAGGTTAAGAATCGAGAGAATAGAGAGAGATCTCGAAGGAAAAAGTGAGAAAATAAATTTTTCAAACTCTAAACCCTTCAAATATCTCTCTGGTTGCGACACTCTCACTGCAGCAACACCATTTCTCGTTACAGCAAAAATCTTAGAGGAAATTACACTTTGGTTTCTGTAGAATTTTGCTACAGTGAGATCCTCTCGCTACAGCAAGACCGTACCCATAAATGCACCATCTCTGTTGCTCTCTCGCTGCAACGAGGGACTTCTCGGTACAGCAAAAGTGCAACAGATTCAAACCTTTTTTTTAGGGTCTTCTCGCTACAACAAGAACACCCCTGCACCACACATTTAGCCTATATATTTAAACAATTCCAGCCCATACACAATTTAAACACGTTCAATCTCCATCCAAAATCAATATTCCCATCCATACTCTCACATACATAGTCATACACTTCCACGTCATCGTATATATTCAAACCATGCATCTAAACATAACACACACACACACATATATATATACACACACACATCCAAATAATAACTCGCGTATTTACATTAATAATCAACAATTTACAAAACCTAGGGCGTTACAAAGGAGAAGTAACACAAAAAATATTGAAGTTGATGATGAGGTTGAGGTTAAAGTGGAACATGAAAACAAGGACCAACCAAAACATGTTTATGGTAGTTGGAATGAGGAAAAGCATTATAAAAGTTTATATGATTATTATAATGAAATGTTAAGGTCAAATCTTAGTTCAACTATAAAGTTGACTGTTGAGAAATTTAATCTTGCAATTCAAAAAAATGCAAACCCCTAAGACAACTTCTTCCTACTTTTCACAAACTTTATGTTTGTCTTCGTGCTTACAAGAAGAATATTTGAAGTGCAGACCCATCATAAGATTAAATGGCTATTTTTTGAAAGGATATTATGATTGACACATTTTGGATGTTGTAGGGAGGATCCCAATAAGCAAAAATGCTGATAACAGTTGCAATCGTAGAAGTAGAAACTAAGGACTCATGACAATGATTTTTGTAGTTACTGGTTTCTAATTTAGGAGGTGTGGGAGTGTGTAACACATTCATCTTTATGTTGGATCAATAAAAGATATGATCATTGCACCTTGCGTTTTTCTAATAATTTCATTTCAGTTTGATTAACTTATGTGCAAGACATTGACTTTTTTTTTTTTTTTTTTTTCTGATTTTAGGGATTATTGCCAGCTAACAAGAATTTATTTCCTAGAGTGGAACAAAGGTTCTCTGTTAAAGCTAATGTGAAAGGCAGCAGAAGTAACTTATTTACAAGAGTGGAAAAATATATGAAAAAAATGAAAAACATTAATGAATGGGCATTCAAGCACCTTCTTAATATTTTAGAAAAATATTAGAGTAAGTCAATGTTTTCTTCCAAATCTAAGACTAAAATGGTTGTAAAAAATAATGAAACCTAGATAAAAGCCCATTGTCACAATGATGGAAGACATAATAGTTTATTTAACAGAAAAGTGGGTTGAGAATAGACTTTAGTAGATTGTTTATTTAAAGTCACATTGTTCATTAGAGACATACTTCCAAATACACATAAAAGATTATAAAAACTGCAAGCAGGCTAAAGATGATAGTTGTCAATGTATTACTTTTATCATAACTTTACTTTTTAATATGGTTCATTTTAGTCTTCTATATTTTTTATTTGGTTTAACTTAGTCCTTTAACTATTTTATTATTAACTATAATATTTTTCTAATCTAATCCCAAATTACAACTATTTCTATTTGCAAGGTTTAATTTAGTCCTTTAACTATTTTGTTCTTATTATTTTGTTATTGTCACGACAATATATTTTGATAGTTTTTATATCTTTCAATAATTTTTGTAACTCATTTATATAATAAAATTGATTCATTTTCAGTTTTCAACAAAAGCTAGTTATTCTAGAAGTGGTTGATAGATTTTGATAATAATCATTTGTCAAGATACACAACAAAATCACATAGCATTCAATTACTGCTTTGGTAATCCATTACTAAATGGTTCTATTTAAAACTTAAATTATTGTCAAACATACTTAATTGGTAGCCAATTCTTAATCTTAGTAATTGAATATTGAGTTGTTCTGTATCAAGAAAATAATTTTTAACAAACGTATTTGTTTATTAACTATTATTTCTCTTGGTATTCAATTATTGAATAATTTTGTATTAAGAAATTTAATTTTTAAATTAATTGAGTAGTGTTTCTGTTAAAAAAATACTAGTTTTCAAGTTTTTACTCTGAAACGGTGACGTCCTTCTAACTGTCGCTGACGTGGAGAGAGTACCTGCAAAAAACACTCCGATGCTGAAGTCAGGATTCGTATTTGAGCAATAAATACTATTTAATAATGAAAAGTCAACCATTTACCTGTATTTCCTACATTCCTTTTATAGGCATTGTTATGAGCTAATAGGTCTGCTGAGTCAGTCTTTATTTTGGCCTTTTACTTTAAAGTAGATAATGCCCTGATTATTACCCTTAATTGGGTTAATTACCTTCTAATTTTGACGAAAGGTGTTTGGCCAAACTAGGCCGAATAGGTACTCGGTTACCTTTTTCTATATATAGGACTGAACAGTTCCTTATCCAGTACAAGTAGATTGATAATCAATTATTTAGTATAATAATTGATTACTAAGATAGTATGTCAAATAAATGTAAGTTAATTAAATATTTAAACATTAATAATAATTACCCATTCTTATTTTTACTATACTTTCTTACTCTCACACTCATATTTTAAGATAATATATGTATTAAAAAAATTATTTCATTAAAAATAGAACAATCTATATTCAGCGTAAAATAGTAACAACACCATGATTTAATCAAAATACTATTTCACAGAGTATTTACAAAAATTGCATCTTTACATTTTCAAAAGGCAATAGTTTTCTACTGAAAAACTTCATTACTAATATATGAATCACTATATTAATATTTTACTTCTTTAAATAATTCTTCTTATATTTGTAATTAGCAATTGATAAAGAGTTCTGTTATTTCAACAGTTTTTTTTTAAAAAAAAATACTAACATAATATTTTTTTATTTTATTACACTTATTTATGTTTCTTTTTATATAACAAAATTTAAAAAAAGGTACAAATACCGTTAGGTTCTACGGAATAATATATACACTCACATTGAATTTTTTTTTATTGTAAAAGAATTTCTAATTTAGTTAATTCTGTAATTACTTAGTTTACCATTGTAATAATTTCTAAACATTCATAACTAAATTAGGTTTCTAAATATACAGTCACATTAAGATCTTATGTTTAAGTGTTTTTTTTTTTAAATATTAACATATGATCAGATTAATTATCAACCCATTATTTTATGTTATTATTTTAATTTGTATGAGAATAAATGTGATATGTTTTATTTTTTAAAGGAATAATTCTAGTGATAATTTTTCAAAAAAATTAATACGACTGCGTTTAAAAATATTAACTTAATAACAAAATGACTCAAACCAATATACAGAGAAGAGATTTTTCTAAAACTTGTATCTTTTCTAACTTAATGGTAGGAACACCTATTGTTAAAATATCAGTGAGACCTTCCAGCACCTTCAACCACAGCAAAATACCATCTGTACAGGAGGAACTACCAATCCCTGTCATCCAGTACATAACATACATATTTTAAAATTTTAAAAATCTAATTATTTTATTTGAAAATATTAACATAATATAATGTAGGCTTTTAACTAAATTTTAAATTTATATTAGTTTATGTTTATATATAATACATATATACGATGATCAGCTTCGTTCGCATGAGATAGAATGTTTATTATCAAAATAATAATTTAAAATTATAAATAAGTGTATATTATAAAATCAAAGGGTAGATATAGTAACTAGTGGTACACAACTATTAAAAAGTAGGATTATTTAAATTTTATAAAGAGTATTTAATCACATATTTTTTAGTTGATATCAGACTTCTTAACATAAACTAAATTTATATTAACAATGCATTTTATGTAAAATTCAGCTCATTTTCACTCTAGAGATGATGAAGCATAGTGTAACGTCCGTTCCAGACACCTTTCCACCTAGCCTAGGCGATCAACTCATGACACCAATAGTTGTAAATAATTTTTAAAGAAGGTGAAGTATCGTACAATATTCAAACAAGATGAATGCAAGATATATAATCTATCAATGCTCAAACAAATTGAACATATGAAATGAATGATTGCCTTACCCTTTTAGCTTTGACATCAATTTCAATAACAATGTTATTTCTATATTCAAATATTCATACACCTACCTTTTATTCATCCCTTTTTATATAATAATAATAATAAGTTGATATAAATTATTAAAAAAAATTTAAAATATTAAAAGAAACATTTTTACATGGTTGATATAAAACATTTATAATAAATAGTTAACATAACAAAAATTCAAGAATATATCTAATATATAACCCTTTATTTATTTTAAAAAATAAATAAATAATTTTTCCGAAAAAAATTAATGTAAACCTGTTCAAGCTTACATCTGAGCTTTACCAAGTTCAACCAAATGAACCAATCCATTTTCTAAAACTATACACGTTACCTTGTAAGTAAAGTCCAATTTTATTTGTACCCAATATACATGATCAGCTGAACATGCTAAGAATGTTCAAACGTGATTTTATTCCATCATAGTAAATGACAAGACAAGATCAATAATACAATAAGTCAACAGAGTGACACACCAAAGCCAAAAAGTATGAAGTTCCTATAAGCCATCAACAATAGTTAATAGTAAACATAAATGTTAAACTCAATTGTATTATCCCTTGTTTGGGGATCAGTAGAGAGAGTCCTAGATTCAATATACCCTCTAGCAAATCTGAAAAGACCAGTGCCACCAATAATGGGCATTTCCCTCACCTTTTGCAAAATGGGGTTCCTTCCCACAAACGTGATTGTGCTACCATTGTACTTCCCTTCCGTTAACACAATGTTCATAATCACTACAAGATCTAACTCCGTTTGAGACGTAGCGGCATATATCCCTTCAGCTCTTCCCGCCACCGTTGAGTTCAATTCGGGTCCTAATGTCAAAAGGGTATCGAAGACATCTAACATACCAAAGGAAGTGGTTGAGTTGTATTTTGGGAGTGGTGGAATCACTGGAACCGAAGTGGGGTTGTTTCCACTGAAAATTTCATGCCAATAGAACCTGAAATGGCTAATTTTTTCTTTGCTTTCTAAACCCAATAACTTGCGGTCTATTGAACCAAGGTAACCTGTTTTTTCTTCTGCTGTTGTAGGGGTGAGAGCATAGTAGGGTATGAGAAGGAAAAGTAACATGGAGAATTGGGTGGACATGATTTTGGTGGTTAATTAGAGCAAGTTCTTGGTACTTAAACAAAAGTGGAGTGATTTTGGAGAGTGGAAATCGAATTGAAGAGTTTATAAGGTGAGAGTTTATGAGTTCTAATCAGATATATAACCATGCAAACTTGACCAAACTCCCTAGTTTGAAGATCGTTGGTTCAAGACATAAAGTTTGTAGACTTTACATTAGTTACTTCGTCAAGCAAATCATTTTATTTTAAACAGACTGATCATGTATATTTATAAACAAAAATATTTTAATTTTATTAATTCACATAAAATAAAAATATTTATCTTATAAGATAAAATTTGGACAAAGTCAATATTTATCATAATTCATAATATATATCTTTGAATTCCTGACCGTCCTGATGCTTAAATAATTCTATTATGTGAGTTTTAACAAGCAAACAGAAGCGTTGCGCCAAGACTATCTTTAAACTACCATGAAAGAGAAAAAAATAAAATACTATCTTTAAACTACCAAGAGAGAAAGAGAAAAAACTATCTTTAAACTAAGCGAAAGGTTACATATTTTTTTCCTATACTTTTTTATTTTGATTTTTCTTCTTATATTTAAAATTTATTTTTCTTACAATTTTTAAATTTAGGTTTTTTCATCCTTATAGTTATACTTTGTTTTACTTTTATTTTTATACAGTTTTATTTTGTTTAAGTTTTGGTTTCTCTGATATGTTTAACATGGTCTATTTGGTTATATCTTGCAAGACATATATTTTGGCACATTGCTAATCGTGGGATTAAAACATAATTTGATAAGATTATAAAAATCAAAATCTAATTTTTTTAAAAATATTAAGATTGAAAAATTATATGAAGAATAAAAATATATTTAAATCTTAAATAAATTTAGTTTAAGAACAAGAGAGACAACTTGATTGAGTCAAATTTCTAAAAAAAAAATCTGGAATATTTTTTATACAAGTGTGATTCGAATTCAAGTTTTGTTTTGTTTTTTTTAAGAATTAGACACATATCCATATCACCTGAATCAACTAAAGGTGATAAATTAAGTGAATTTAAATACACGAACATAGTAATAATTTGAGTTATTATTCACACATTTTAACTCTAAAGAATTTTTACGTGAGGGAAGATATTGTAGATAGACACTTTTTTCGGCTTTGTTTCAGAAGGGTTTTCCTCCAATCTCAGAACTCTTGATCTCAAGTCATTGCGATGACCATTGACGAATTGCGCCTCATTTGTTTGATTCATTCCTTATTTGGATTTTCATTCATCGCCGTTCGTTTTCATTTCTTCTAAATTAATACCAAATTATGAATTATGAGTATAGATTATAGAGTAATTAATTCGTTAATGGGCCAATTCAAAGATGTAAGAACCAATATTATGATGACATCGCTTTTAAAAAATTGGAGCCTTTTTAATAAGGAAAAAACCCCCAATTGACTATTGAACGTCATATCCTATTTTATTATTACTTTAATTACGAATTGCTTGACAAAATTATTCTATATATATATATTGATAAAACATCAAAGGTATTAGGTATAAAATTTATTAAAATAATACTTTTAATTTTTTTTTGTTAAAAATAAATATTATCAGTCAAATTGTTCAATTTTAAATCTTTATAGAATAAATCACGTTTACCGAATTTTACACAATTTAAATATTTAAAAATGTATAAATACAAATATTAATGATAATATATATTAATAAATAATTTTTTAGGCTTATAAAAATTGACTAGAGGATTTCCAATCCTATTAGCCGCCGGTTATAATTTGTTAAAGTATGGGTCAATAGCTAACGTAAAAAAGAATTTTAAGACTAAAACATACTTATAGTTAATTATTAGTTCAGAGTTATTAATCTTCATCTTTGCACATATAAAAGTATTAATAAGCGTAAAATTACACATCAATTTATTATACTTAAATACTCAATAACTTTAATATTACATTTTATAAACACTGTATTAACATTGTTATAAATAACATTTTTAATATAATTTTAAATTTTATTAAAGGCAATTGAATATGTAATTATACATCTGATTAATTAAGAAACACAAAGTTCATGCATTAAAATTGCAGCTGCTTAAGAATGACATTCATGTTTCTAGGATTAATTTTAGTTAGTGACCTATCAAGAACAATCCTCCATGAAAATGATAAAACTTTCGAAAGAAAAAGACTCTTCTAGCTAAAAGCTCCTGAAAGAAGAAAAATCTGAAGAAAGCCCCTCCACCTGTACACGGTATATATGATGAATATTTCGTAATTGCTATTGTAATTAATGTCAAAGCTAAAAGGGTAAAGCAATCATTCATTTCATATGTTCAATTTATTTGAGCATTCACCAGTATATATCTTAATTAGACATAATTATTAAAGTATAAATTGTCATAAATATTAATAATTTAATACACATATAATGGTTATGAAATAATGTTAATAATTAAATTTAAAATTAATAAAATATTACATAAAATCAATAATATATATTTCAACACTAAATAAGTAAATCGACTTTAATATTAAGTAAAAAATAATAAATAAAATTTATTACAAAAGTTTAATAATAATTTTGTATCTTAAAAATATAAAATATAATAACGATTTTAACATATTATTTTAACTATTTTTAAAATTTTAGCCTGTACTCATCCAGTTTGAATATTCTATGATAGTACACCTTTAAAATATACTTACAATTATTGGTGTCATTAACAATTCATAATGCTAGAAAACTAAATTTTGGTTAATTCAGTTTATAATTAATTTGCTTCATCATGTCTAAAGTGAAAATAGTGAAAATAAGCTAAGTTTCACCAAAAATAAAATGTTAGTATAAATTTAGTTTCGGTAAACAAATGTACACTGACAACTAATTAATATATCTACGATTTAATTTTCTAATACACACTTATTTATAATTTTTAATTATGATTTTGATAATAAATATTCTATCGCGTACAAAGCTAATCATAAAACTATATGTTTTAACCATGATTGTGAATGTGGTAAAGTTAATAAGCTAATTTTTAACTTATTTGATTAATTTAAAAGTTTATTTGATCAAACTAGAGTTATTTGATAAAATAAACTTATTTTATTAGCTTTCTCATTTTATATTACTTTATGAATGTGCTTTATACAAATAGTACTTGAGAGCTGGATGTTGAATAGTTAAATAAAATTTAAGAGTTTGGGAAATTAAAACAGTTAGGAGATTAATATAATAACAAGAAAAATGAAAAATGAAATATGTTATTAGCTTATAAACTCAAATGCTTTACGAAGTAATGTTCAAAAAGATACTACAAATAATACAATCTACTTAAATAAATTTATTTTTTTAATATATATATATATATATATATATATATATATAAGTTAGTTTTAATTTGATTAAACAAAATTTTTAAACCAACCAAACAAGTTAAAATTCGATTATTTATTTTATAAAATTAATTTATATAGAAAAAAAAAGCACTAATTGAGTTAAAGCTTTAATCATAAATAAATAATAAGTTTAATTATGTTTTTTTTTATCTTTGTAAAAGTAGTACCTTTTGGAATTGTTAAGATTTAGTGTTGATATTTTCAAAATGCAAGATTTATTTTTTTATTGTCAACTATACTTTGTTAAAGACAAATGATAAATTGAATACGAAATTTAACTCATCACTATCATGTAATAATCATTTTTTATATTTTATTTTTAATAATTAATATTTATAAAAAAAGTCTCTAAATTTTGTATATTATTTTAAAATTAATATTTAGTCTATCTTCTTCAACCTTTCTCCATTTCTCTCTCTCTCTCTTAATCAATCTTTCACGAACTCTAGCAAACAACAATAACTTTTCTAACCCAGGAATCTTATTGAAGATGTTGCCAACCATGATCAACAACGCCTGCATTACAAGTAATCATTAGTCCCCTTTCCTTTAGGTAATAGGAATTGCACTGCCCTACCTAGTTCAAACATCTAGCCAAACTAAGGGTTCTACCTAAACCTCTTAGACTCCCTGAATTGTACCTATGTCTTACTATCTCACCTTGACATCAATATGATTTTCTTAAACAAGCTTCAACTAGGTTAATTTATCTATGTGGAACGCTTTCACTTCAATTTTCTCTCTTTTATCAGCTAGGTCAATAGGTTAGGATTAGGGTTCTCTCATCCAAGTGTTTCAGTAACAAGTTGTATATCTTGTTACCTTGTTTTGCTCCACTATCTAATTTTGAATTTTGAGAAGAATGACATGCTATGTTACAAAAATGACAATTTAAGGAAATTTTAAAAATTAAGGAGACAGAGAGATGTAACAATTTTTTTAGGAGTGTGTTATATTAAACATGCTCTTGGAGACATCATAGATATGACCCTTGATAGCCATGAGCTAGGGCTTCTCAATATTAGAGGTGTTGTAGGCCTTGAGATCCTCGGTGGCATGTTATCCTTCATACGGCAGTGGTGATTAGAGGAAGATTCAAAGAGACATGAAACGACGTAGTAAAGGAAAAAAAAAAAAAGAGTGAGGAGCATGAAGAAGGTAGCAAGAGAGAGGCTTGTGTAGGTAATAACGATATCCTTGAGAGTCTCTTACAGTTACAAAGTCATAACCACATGATTGAGAGAGAAGAATAAAGAAAGAAGATAAATCATCCAATTGTAAGAACTCATTTTAGTAGTTGATTTTAAGATTTATGGTGAAAAGGATTAATGGACATAAAAAAAAAAAAGAAGAGTAAGAGGAAAGTATTAAGGGAACTACTCAAATTATGATATCCAAAACTAAGTATTGATTAGATCCTGTTGAAGAGAGGTTTTGGCCTAAAAATGAAATTCCAACCATGAGAGAGAGTGATGAAGCCTCATGCAAAGAGATATGGAAGTTGAAAAAGAAATAACTAAAGAAATTTTTGTAAATTTCAATATTTAAATAATAAATATTAAAAATAACATTAACATGAAAGTGATGAACTAAACT